TATTATTATTATTATTTTTATTTTTAATAAAATGCTGAAGTGGTAGGTAGATGCAAGATAAAGGTAGAAAACATAGTTTAGTGCTGTAAGAAGGCAAATGTAGATGATCAGATGATCAGGTGTGTGCCTATGGACTAAGTATTAATCCAGGCTAGACAAGGGCAGCAAGACATCCACGGATGCAGAAGATTTCTCTCAAAGCAGGGGGGGTGAGGTTCTGAGCCTCACCTCTGTTGATCCCCAATTTCTCACCTGATGGCCCCCCTGCGACTGTGCCTGTCTTAGGTTGTTCCTCCCTTGAGGAATCTTACCCGTCTCTGGCTAACAAGTCATCTTCTGGGGCCATACAGGGAAATGTAAAGTTGGTAAGTGAGAGAGAAGCCATATTGTTTGAAAAGGTTAGCTTTTTACTTCTTTGCAGATTTATGCCCTGTGGCTTCTATGCCCAGCACTTGGGAGACTTCCTTTATTTAACCTAAATTCTTATCCTGTCCCAGGATCCTATCCATGGTACCACATTACACTTAATTGTCACAACCCCTTAGGTTCCTCTTAACTGTGATGGGTTCTAAGACTTTTCTTATTTTTGATGACTATGGCAGTTTTGAAGAGTACTAGTCAAATATTTCATATGACACCCCTCTGATGGAATTTGTAAGTTGTCTGATAGTTTTCTTCTAATTAGACTGGAGCCAGGGGCTTTTGGAAGATCACAGAAGTGGAGCGCCATTTTCATTAGATCATATCAAGGTCACAGGCTGGCAACATGATGTATCAGTGAGCTCGGGTCACATGGTAGCTTGTGACCTAAGGTCCAGCAGCAAGCCAAACATTGGCTCTTAAAAAGGGAGTATTAGAGGATGGTGGGGCTCCAAAATCTGAAGGGTTTGCAACGTGATTCACTTACAGGCGCTCACTAGAGTCTTCCTACAACATCTCCACCTGCCACTGCCACTGCCACTTCAAGCACCATTACATCTCCTGGATCATACGACCAAGTGGTGGAGCAACAGGCACAACAGCTGACCGTGTTGCAAAGTCCTCCCCTCTCTCCTCTTAACTGGGTGTTGTGCTTCTGTTTTTCATGGAGAAGGAGCCAGATGTAAGCACTTATCCTTCACCTTACAAGTGATATCTTGATGGACCCCAGAAACTGCTCTGAAGTAGAAGGCCCCTGGGTTTTGGGGATTTATTTTCTATCCTCTGACATGCAAATATCTTACCAATTTGTGTATAGTAGTTGCTACTTCCTGCCTACCAGGCCCAATCATCATATTATCATCAATGTGATGGGCCAGCATGATTTTTCTGTGTAAAAGGAAGAGGATGAAGGTACCTGCAGACTAAATCATGACAAAGGGCTGAAGGGCTGATATATCCTGTGGTAGGTCAGTGAAGGTATATTGCTGGTCTTGCCAGTTTAAAGCAAATTCCTTCTAGTAGTCTTTTTCAACAGATAGAGTTGGGAAAAGCATTTGCCAGATCAATAGCTGATTACTTGGTACTAAGAAATATATTGATTGGTTCAGCCAATGAAAACACACCTGGAATAGCAGAGCAAGTGGAATCATTTCATAACTGGATATATGAAAATCCACTGTTTTTTCCCCAGAAACCATCTGTCTTCTGCACGTGCCAGATAGGCAGGTTGAAAAGGGATGTGGTGGCTTCACAACCTCAGCAACTTTCAAGTCCTTGGTGGTGGTGTTGATCTTTGCGATCCTTCCAAGAATGTGGTATTGTTTTCGGTTTACATTTTTATAGGTATAAACAGTTCTAGTGGCTTCCATTTCGCTTTTCCTACCATAAAAGCCTTCACTCTACAGGTCAGGAGACCAATGTGGGGCGTTTGTTAGTTGCTGGGCATGTCTATTTTAATTATGCTTTCTGGAACTGGGGAAATAATCACAGGGAGTGTAATGTGAAGAATCTTCACTAAAACTCCATTGATCACTTGATCTCCATAAGCCCCTACTCTGACAGACACAATGATGTTTTGGATTTCCATGAATTCGTGTCAGGTTAGAGCCATTGCCTGCTAATGCCCCTGAAATCTGATTCTTTTCCCTCAAATGGAAAATCACCCTGGCAGGATATCATGGGACCCTGTGGGGAAGGCTGGGGAAAAGATTAATAATATGCATTCTGGCAGTGAAGCAGGGTCTTGCTTCATGAGGACCTGGCCTCCCCTTCATTCAGAGTTCTGGGTATAAACTGGCTCAAGTCTGGGAACTGATTGAGGGGCTGTGACTTTCTGCTTGGGTGATGCAAATCAGGACTCTGTTCAGTAGACCTAGAACTCTTTTGCTTATGGAGATTAAGTAATTTAGTAGATTGCCCCCCCTTTTTTCATAGGGACCCCATGATCAACTGACCAATGCTATAATCCCTGCAAGTCAGACGATTCTGATGACTGCTTTGGTTCAGCTGTCAATTACAGTAGCCACCTCCACCTCCACCTAGTTTTTGGCAGTTAGGTACCCCCACCCTCAACCCCAGGTCCCTACTACTCTAGGATCTCATTAGCCCCACTGTTTGATGGTAGTAGTCCCTACTGTGAGGTATATCTGACTACAGAGAAGGACGATCTTAGCTCTCTTTAAGCATGCTGGGGCTCCCATCACAAATTTCCTTCTCACAGTCACAGTGAAGGGTCGTGTCCACTGGACCTTCTTGGGTTGGGCAGGCAGGTCTTACATGATAATCCACACCAACGTTTCAGTCTCCTCTAGCCTTTGGATATCTTCCTCTATAGTATCCCAGGCAGTTCTGGCATTTCACTCGGTGTAGGCACTTTTGGGAGGATGGAAGTCAAATGGTCAGTGTAGTTTTTGCTCCAGTCCTCCTCACAGTGGGCCCAGTGGGTCTCTAAACCCACCTTGTCATTATTCTCCCTGTTCCACTTGAATAGGAAAAACACACTCAGCAGCCAATCAAACTGTTAAGCTTTTTCAAACCCTTAGAGGCAAAATGTTGTATCTAGAATATCTGTTTAGTGGGCCCATATCAATTAAATTTGGCCTGAAAGAATTTTCAATCCTTCATCTGATCCCTGTATGAGTTTCCTAGGGCTGCCATAGTAAGTATCACAAACAGAGTGGCTTAAAACAGAAATTTATTCTCTCCCAGTTCTGGAGCCTGGATGTCTGAAATCAGGTTGTCAGCAGGGTCATGCTTCTTCTGAAGGCTCTCTGGAATAATCTTTCCTTGCCTTTTCCTAGCTACTAGCGGCTCCCAGCATTTCTTTGGAGTAGCTGCATCATTCCAATCTCTGCCTCTGTCCTTATTTCCTCTGTGTGTATACATCTCTGCTCCCTCTCATAACAACACCAGTCATTGGATTTAGGGCCCACTCTAGTCAAAGACCCTATTTCCAAATAAGGTCACATGGGATTGCAGGTGGACGTGAATTTCGAGGGGCACTATTCAATCCAGTATAATCCCATACCCATAATATCCATAAGAAATATAATTTGCATATTCTTTTGTGTGCTCTGTATTTTTTTAGCATATTCTTTTTTCAAATAAAGGAAAAAACCCTCCGAGTTCTTTGCCTCCAAACACGAATATTCTTTTTTTCCCATTTGAGAAATTGGTATACATTATAAGTTCAAGGTGTACAGCATAATGGTTTGATTTAGACATATTGTGAAATATTACCACAGTAGGTTTACTTAACATTCATCATCTTATACAGATACAATGAAAAGGAAATTCTTGTTATGAGAACTCTTAGGATCTACTGTCAGAACAGCTTTCTTATATAGTCATCACCTTGGCACATGACATCCTTAGTGCTTATTTATAACTGGAAGTGTGTACCTTTTCATCACCTTTCTCCAATATTCTTGGAGGAAGAAATATTCTTTCCTTCCGATTTCTCCCTTTGATGCCCACTATTTAATCTCCCTATGCTGGCCTCCCAGTTCAGGTTTTTTCCAATTTTTTCTCTCACTGCCAAGTGATGGTTCAAAATAATAATCTCTTTCCAATCTTCAGTGAAGATCAAGCAGGTGCTCTCTAGTTGCCTGGTGGCTTTTCTTTAACTGATCTTCTGCAACCTTCTCCCAGTTTCATCTTTTAATAAATTCTCCTGCTACCTCTTCTGCCCCTGACAGGCAGTTTTCCGAACTGCCCACACCGCTCGCTCCCTCCATTCGCTGGACCTCACTCTGCTTGGGTAACTCCCATTGCGCCCCTCAACGCTGCTCATCTTTAGAGGCTACTCCTCTGTTCTCTTCCCAGAGATGACACCTTCTGCCGCCTTCTGATCTCTGAAGTCTGTTGATTTATTTCCCTTTGCTCTTGTTTCTCTTAAATCAAGTTTCCTATTTTAAAGACTACAGTCCAAGAACATACATTGTGCTGCCCTTGTTCAACCGCAGAGCAGAACCAGTTCGCCCTTTCCGCCCTCATGGAGGGGAAGGACCGTGACTGCCAGCCCTGGAGCGACCAGCCTGATCCCCCACGAAGACCAAAGCGCTCCGGGCTTGGGGGCGGGTGGTGACGGAACTGTCACCCGGGGAAAGCCGGACTGGCCGCACAGCCCACATCCCTCGCTTCACGGTTGAGGAAATCCCGCCCGGTATAGAGCGACGCTCGGAAGCCCGGAGTAGCATTGCTAGGCGCCCAAATACGTCAGCGCCCCTCACACCCAGGACCACCACCTCCACCTCCTCCCCCTCCCTCCTCCCCCTCCCCCTTCTCCCCCCTCAGCGTTAGGCCGAGGAAGTCGCCAGGGACTCTCCCGCGCGGCGCGCGGAGGCGGAGCATGCGCAGTGGCCGCGCGTCTGCCCCCAATGCCCACTCCTTGCCTGCGGCTCAGCTCGCGCAGGCGCACACGCCTCGTGGCCGGACTCCCCGCCCCCGCGGGCTACGCCCCCTAGGTGCGGGTCAGAGGCCGTGGGGCGGGCGGCGGTGACGCGCGCGGAAGAGCCTTGTGCATCCGCGGAAGCTGGCGGCCTGAAGATCGGCGGCGGCGGCGGCGGCGGCCTCGGCCGGGCCCCCCAGGTGGAGGGGTCGCGGATCGCTCAGAGGCGGCTGGACTCCTGCGGTTCTACCGCCACGGGCGGCCCCATGAGTCGGGGCACCATGCCGCAGCCCGGAGCGTGGCCGGGAGCGAGCGGAGCGGAGCAGCTCACCCGGGAGGCGGGGGCCGCGTCCCCGGGCCCCTCAAGAGCCGCGGCGCGGGAGGGCGGGAAGGCGGCGGCCGGCGGGCAGCCGCGAGCCGCGGTGCGGTGCCCGGCGGAGCAGTGAGTGTCAGGGCGCGGCGCGGCGGCCTCGCGAAAGCTGGGCGCGGGGTGGGCTGGGGACGAGCCGGCGGGGGGACCCTTCGCTCCCTTGGTTCTGGGTGAGGTCGTCGGCGACAAGAGGAATTTAAAGACACTTGTATCCGGTGTCCGACTACAAATGTTCTCCCGGAGGGCCCGTCTCACAATTGTAGTGACCCAGTGCCCCCCGTCCCCATTTTTTTTTTTGACATCTGCATAGCTCTAAAGTTAAAGAGCTTCAGAAACTTGGAAAACAAACCCGAGAAGCATATTTTGTTACAACTAATTCCCTTTGGATCTTTCTCGGGAAGAAAGGTTGCGACTGTCACAGTCACAGGGAAACCCAGCCACACGACATGTTTGTTCTTGAAAGGCAAGTCGCCGCCTGATGAGCGATCCATCTATTAGACTTTGGATGGAGCCTGACCCAGTTCTCTTTCGCTGGTTAACAGCTTAGCTTGACATCCCCACCCCCACCCCCTTTAGTTTTAAATACGAAGGGCAGTGCTGGTTAGATCGATTATTTACAGAACTGTACAGAAGATGGCATTGATCGGAAGCGTTTATAGTTTCGGCCTGGGTCTGGGATGGAAGCAGAAAACAAACTTTTAGGCTGAAACTTTTTATACACTTCTTAGCTCTAGGCATATATAAATGCCTTTGGATTCCAAAATTGACAACCAGTTTGATAGATTGATTGGCTGGGAAGTTGGGTTGTAAGGTGCCTTCCCTGCCCTCCCCCTCCTATTTCCTTAAAAGGGGTCCTTCCCAGGTCTGTTATGCGGACAGTGTGTTATAATAACTCTTATTTGCATGGGTCTTTGCCAGAGGCTTTGATAGTCTCATGTATTGAGCACCCAAACCTTTTGGGGTGGCATTACGCAGGCTTGATGGGTTAATGGCCACTGGGAAGTAGGAGGTCTCAAACTCCTGCCCTCAGGAGCTAGGCCAGTAACTTCAGTGAGGCTGGCCAGGTGTGGACGGTGGATGCGTGGAGAGCTTTGCCCATCTCTGTTGGGGGCAGAGTCCACTAAGTTCTAATCTATAGTTGCCGGATTTTCAAATACCCTCACTTTTTAATGAAATGTCCTGATTTTTAAATAGCATTATATTTTTTAATGGAAACCACTGTGCAGGCCCTTGTGTGAGCTTATGTGGCCTGTGGCTGCAAGTTTGCTCTATGGATTAGAGATCTACCTCAGCCTGAAGAGGGTAAAGTATGGGGATCTTCTGCTTCTGGCCTTCCACAGCCTGTCCTGGTTCCTAACTGCTGCCAGCCTGGCTGCTGCTGCTAGTTGGTTGGCCCTGGTGGTCAGGTCTGTGCCCCACTTAGAGACCCTGTCACTCAGCCTTAGCAGTTTCATGCCCCAAGAGATGCAGAAACTTTGAAGCCAAAAAGTAAGTTCCCAGAAGTACGCATAGTTATTTGGCAAGTTTTTCTGCTGCCTGTGGTTTCCTGAGAACCTGGGGGAATAGGCACTGTGGGAAAGAGCACTCTTTCCTGATGAGAAGGTTTTGTGGCACAGGTGCCTCATGTCTGCTGTCAGTACAGGTATGGATTTACAGCCGAAAGGAATCTAAAAACCCCAGCCTGCGTTTATCATTCTACATATTAGGAAACTGAGTTGCAGATTCCATAAATGCTACTTGAGAGTATGTTTTCAGGCCAAGTTCCCTGATGCCTGGGGAAGAAGGTCCCCCCATCTCTGTCTTCCTCAGCAAAACCAGGCAGAAGAACATGATTTATAATGACCCTCTCCTCCCCTCTCCTAGCTCTTTGAGTGCTGTGGTTGACTGGATCCCCTGGACAGGCCTTAAGGTTGGCTCCCAAGGTGTCTTAGGGTCCTTTTTGAAGAAGTCTTAGGTTAGACCAGTGTTAGTTGACTTTTCTTGAAGCTTTCTCACTGGTTCTGTCAGCAGGTCTCCTAAGCTCTATTCCTTGCTCAATCCACCCCTACATTTGAAACTTCTACTCTTGCTCCTAGCTAAGCTAATCTGTACTACAGTCCCTGAGGACTAAAATGGCCCTTGGACATGGTTGGTGACCAGGCCATACTTAGGGAATTTAGAAGCAAGACTACTCCATGGCCCTTTCCTATCTGTCTGATGGTGGGACAGAGTTTGAATCTGGAGTCCACAGGCTGGCTGTGTGTGATAGGGAACATAATGTCTGTGAACACCTCAGAAATTGAAGACCAAGTTTCATGTGTATTTTTTTCTGTACTGGGATTCTGATGAAAGCTGTGATTTCTCAAAAGGGCTGTAAACAACAGCAAATTGCTAAAACCATTGTTTTGGGGTGCTGTGAAATACTGTGTGAATGTGTTTTCCCACCCACCTTACACCTTAGCAGCAGCTCCTCGGGGGTATGTTTGATGGGGTAACAGCTACTCCCTCTTGCCCTTTCCGCCATCGGGATGTAGAGCCTGCTTTAGGGTCCAGAGCCGGAATGTCTCTGAGAATCAAACCTGATTGTTGAGGGTGTCTGGGTTGTTCCCAGATTACCTCTGGAAGTCACATGGAGTAGCATGAGCGGTCATGGAAAGTCCACTTGCAAGAGGGAGGTGGAATTTTGGCCTGGGTGCCGGTACTTTCCTGCATTTGATGTGTTGTTCACCCATGTCTACAACCGCTAAGTGGAGAAAGGCTTGGTTTAGTGGTCTTTGCTTTTCCTGTGCCTGTGTGGGCAGGTGCTTTGGTGTCATGGTGGTTACTGTCTCATCAGCACTGCCTGGGCCATTAGTCTTCTAGGACAGCCCAAATTAAGCATGAACTGTAGCGTTCAAATCCAGAGGGCTGAACAAAATCATACTCAGTTTAGTTTTTTTAGGCAACCAAGGGGAACCTGGTGCAAATGTTCATAATGGTGAGTGATAACATGCTGTCTTTTTGGCTTTGCATGTATGTTAGAATTGACTTTTGTACAATATTTATATAAAAAATTAAACTACTGACGTCACAGAAATGTCTTTTGCTTCACTGAGCTCTGTATTTTTAGCTTATAGCTTTTGTTCTTGGGAATAGTATAATTTTATGTATATGTAGTAAGCATTTTCAAATTAAAAGTTTTCAGAAACTCTTGGGCAGGTCTTTGAACTGAGGAAGAAGGTTATAATCTAGTATGCAATGCCATGTAACAATGGTGTATATTGCTTTAATATTAGGAATAAAATATTTCATCTCTGCCTTAAGAGAAAACAGGAGCTTGAAAATACACTCTTTGAAATAACATTATGGTGCAAAACTAAGAATTTTCTAAGTTGAAATTATTAGCATTTTGGTTTTAAAATGTAACTGTTAAGTGAGCATGACTCACATGCTATGGTCCCCAAGAAATCAAGTCACATTTAAGATTTTACTTTTCTAATGGTCTGCATGTTTTCTAGAAGGAAGCTATTTGCTGGGGTAATCATTTAAGTCTGTGGACATCAGTGGCCTCTTTTGTGCCAAATGGTGGACACCAGCAGCCCCCAACTTGACATAAAAGATCGCCATATTTCTGAAACTGCTCAGCATTGATGATTTTATCTTACCATGTAATATCCCTTTTCCTTTCATTGTTTCACTACCTTCCTTTCCCATAATAAAAAGTCAAACTTCTAGCTGTTTTAGATCCCCAACTTAAAATAATTTCATTGTTGTTATTTTCAAAGCTTTAATATTTTGATACTTAAAAAAATTAAAGCAAAGGTTTATTGAGTGAAGTATTAACATTATTTTTATTTTTCTTGCTCTCACACATCTCTCTTTCCAGTTCATTGTCCTTATTTTGGATGAATATTTCATTTGGCTGTTAAATGTCGTATTTCTGACCGTATTGATTGAGCTTTGTTGCTTAAATTAAAATTTATCCTTTCTCCAAGGAATACAGCTTTAGGATCATTTTCAAGCAGGCCTTTAAGGGCTTTATCACAATTTTCTTGGTGGCTGTGGAAGTTAGCAAACAGTTGTGCACACGCTCTGAATGAAATCTAACTGTGGCTTAAGTAATTTGAATGGACTCTTGACCTCCCATTCATCAACCTCTGCTTTGCTTCTTTTATATATCTTGAATCACTGCTTTTTTCCCCAATAATCTCCCTTTCTGCTCTGTCTTCCTTTTGCACTTCGTTCTCCTATTGATGTTTTTTTGTTCCTCCCCTGTTGGCCTTTGTGGGATTTTGTGTTTGTGACTGTACAGAGAGATGCTTGTTTAGAGAACCTCCGCTGGACACTGGTGGTGGTTATTTTGTAGATTCAAAAGGAAGAGGACAAAAGCGTAGCCCGTGTACGTACAGTGTAGCTACAGAATTTGCCTGAATTACAGTTTCAGCAACAAAGAGATTCATAGTCTGTTAGAACTGAGTTGAGACCTGGAAGAGGAACTGTGTAGATCACGTAGCTCTTGTCCAGTCTTCTCATCTTGAAGATGAGAAAGCTGAGGCCAAGTTTAGAGAAGTGGCTTGCCTAGAGGCGTGCTTCTGGTAATGAATGATATTGTGGAAATGATTCACTTCAGTGCTTGTTTGATAGGATCAGAATTGCTTTCCTATTTCCTAAAGCTAGAAAGGAGGATGAAAGGTACCACTGGATTATTGAAAGAATAACTAAGACATTTAGTCACTTTTTATTTTAGGTATTTGATATATAGTCCCCGTGAATCTGGTTTCTGTTTGTTTTTAACTCTGGCACAGGCTCTGTGGGTGACGTCACACCTTTTACTTGAAATCTTGAAGTCAGAGCACATGGAAAGTACCTTTTCCCTACTCGGTCCCCTCAACCCCACACCATTAAGAAACACACACACCATCACCTTTATTTAGAATAAAAGGAATAAGACATGGTCATTGGGTGAAGTGTCTGAATACTCTGCACCAGTGGCTATAGTGTGAGGATAAGAATAGCTAACCTTCTGAGTGCTAACTATTGTACATGTGTCTGTTTTCACAGTGGTCCTTTGAGGGGAAGTACTCGTATTGGCCTTGTTACCAGTGGTTAAGGTTAGGCACTGAGAAGTGTGATTTCTTTAGATCCATGGTCATGTGGCTGATAAAAGCTGAATGAGGAGTGCGTACATCCTGCCAGTGTAACTCTGGGGCCCCACTCCAGCCATGGCACTCTACAGGGGGTCACACTGCAGGTGTCCTGATGTGGCAGGCAGTGAACTGGTCCCAGGTGTGAAAGTGCAGGCTGGTGCTGATCAGACATTGGGACCCTGAAGCGTAGGCGTGGGGTGGGGGAGTCACAGGATGCAGGCCAGGGTGGTGGGGAAGGGCCAGATTTAGACTTACCTGCTGATTTGGGAGCCATTGAAGGATTTCGGCATGCTGGGGGTAGGTGGGGTATGGGAGTTCCTGCCTTAGTCTGCCTTTGTCAGCACCCCTTCTTCACCTGCCTCATGTTCCCTCTCACTGCTTTTCCTTCCTCCAGGGCTGTCAGCCTGTACTAGGAGCTGGGGTGCAAAGGGAGTTGGGGATGGAGTTCTTGAGTTGTTCACTTACTTCCCTATTCTTTATTAACCTCATGGGCTCCTTCCTGCGTCCGTTGTGCAGGGAGCCACCTGTCTTGTGTGAGGAAAGGGATTGTGCTCTCATCGGGAGGGTGGATGGGAGTTGGGGGTCTGATCACTCCCCTTATGTGTCTGTCAGCCAGTGTCCTTGTTCTCAGCTCTGGGTGTGTCCCGTGCCCTCCAAGCTACTTGGCACCTCCAGTTCCTGAGCCTCTCTGGGGTTCTGTAGCATTTGCCATTCATGGTACCTTCTGGCCGATGCCCCTCCACTGGCATAGAGGCTTCCCTGTCTTCTGGCATTTACCACTCTTGGTCTGCTTTTGGACTATTTGGGCTTTTATATGTCTTGTGGTTTCAGCAGAGATACATCTAGTTGGTGCTTCTGTTGCCCATCATTGTCTCGTTGTGGTGTACCTTGGGGGGAGAAGGAGGCATCTTAAAACCAGAAGTCCTGTTCTTCATCTTGTCTAGCACCCCATGGTTTTTCTCCCTTTCTTGTGCTTGGTAGGTTCTTGTAGCCCAGTAAGTGAGTCTAGGGACTCTTCAGGGTGCTGTTCTATTTATTTAGTACAAGTCAGTAGTAGTGGCAACAACTAAAGCATGTGGGCCAGTAGGAAAATGCTCAACAGATGTGGGTGGCTGCTTGTACATGGGATCTGGCACAGCAGGAGCTCCAGGGAAGTTTTTTAGCTTTGGGGTCTTGTAATAATTGATACTCTCCTACTCTTATTTTTAGTGTAACTATTGTAGAATCTGCTTGTGACATACTGAAGTTGGCAATTGGCCTGCACTCCTTTATGAATACTGATGTGGCACTATCACCACTCTTGGAACTTGGTAAAACAGCAGGGTTTCAGTGAGCAGACACATGCTAAGGAGCTTACAAGTGCAGTTGAGGCATTACTAGAATTTACAGTGAAAATGGTCTCACATTGCTGTAGCCAGTGGAGTAACATAAAATGCCTCATTTAAAGTAGGAAACCCTAAAGTGAAATGATAGAAATGTGAGCATCTAAGTTTATAAGACCCATATATTATCAAATTGCTGTCATGTAATGTGAAAACAAAAACTTGCAGTGTCTTATATAAAATTTTTTTAAGCAGCTGCGTATTGTGATAAGGAAAATGTCAGTGCCAAAATTTTTTGAAATGTCTAATTTGGTGTGATTTCAGTGAGGAGGACATGTATCGTGACGCGGATGAAATAGAAAAGGAGAAAGAATTACTTATACATGAAAGAGTGTCATCAGGTATGTTTGGAATTGTTTTATTTATAGAGTTCTTACTGTTGGTAGTAGAAAATGCAATTAAATCTGTATATCCATTTTTATAAAATATTGAGATGTACTTCATAAGGAAACATTCTTATGCATATGGTCTTATCTATGCCTGATTATTCATTTTACTTAAGTATGTTCGGGAAATACTATTTCCTGAGGTTTAAAAATGTTATTGCAAGTGTTTTTCTTGTGCTCCTGACATTCATACCATTTTTGCAACTGTGGGGATTTGTTTACTCTCTTGACCCTACCCTCTCTCAGTTCTCGATTTCTTATTTTCTTAGAGAGAGGCTTTGGATTTGAAATGCATTTTCCCTTTCAAGTGGTAGGACTTATTGAGATATTGGCCATGTGTGTCTTTGCATGCAAATGGCCATGTGAATTTGGTTGACTTGTAAGAAGGAATGGTCATGGGGTTAACAGCACAAACTCTTTCTTCATTCTGTGATTTTGTGTCCTGGTTTCTGCTTAGTCATACCTGCTCTCCTCACTCCCACCAGGCCCCATGGACCCCAACTGTTTAGGGTGAGGCCTTACTCCCATTCTCCTTCACTGTGGGCATGGTTGGCCAGGGTGTGGTGAAGAAGCACCTCCCTACCTCCCCAGCTATCCCGCGCGGGAGCTGAGTAGGGGTGTGCCGTAAGTGATGCCCAAATGGCCTTTTCTCTCTCATTACCTGTATAATGTGCATGTTCTGTTGGTTTGTTTTGAGAACTAGCTTTGTTTACTTTATGGTTAAGAAAAATATTATATGTGCAATTAGAACAGAAGTTACAAAGTGGGGTTTTTGATGATAATTTTCAAGTCTTCCTCACCAGGTATTGGTAAAACTCTTCACTGAGGTAGCCATTGCTGTTCTTTGTAGGCCCAGTCAAATTGTTCCTGGGCCACAGTGTTCGGGTCTCCCATAAAACTTCAGAAGATGTTTCTACTGCCACAGCTGCACAAAATTCACTTCAGATGTAGAGTCCTTTTTAGTCATGTTCCTGAGGAGAAGGTGCTTCTTGGGCCATCATTTATTCTTGCCACATTTGCAGAGGTCTGTTGCTTTTTCTCTCTGTCTGCAGGCTCTCAGTCATGATTCTCTCTACCATATAACTGCTGCAGGCGGTGTACCCTTCAGTGGGCTTGTTGCTTTCGTCTGAGATTAGAATGGATCCCTTTACACTCCTTCCTGCAATCTCAGTCCTTCTGGCTTCATTGCCCTTCCTGAAATAACATCCTTTGGAAGTGACTCTGTAATGGTCTGTTGGTGGAAAGCTGTGTTTGAAATTTCTCTATTTTACTTTCTTCTTTGCATAATTCTAGATGAGCAGTTGTTCTGTTTAATCTTTTTGAAAATTTGATTCCATTGCCTTCTCATTTCTGTGGTAGTTGAAAATATGGCAGTCAGATTAATCCTTGGTAGATATTCTGTCTCCTCCCTTGTCTCCTCTTTGGTTTTGGTGTGATGTGGGTTTTTCCTTGATGCCTTTTATATGTGGATATTTTTTCTTATAAACATATTGCCTGTGTTTTTTTTCTTTTTGAATCCCTGGATGCCTAGTTTTCATCAAGTCAGGAGAATTCTTAGTCATTATCTTTTTGAATATTGCTTTTTTCCTGTTCTCTCTACTTCTTCCAGAATTCTAATTAGACATTTGCTAGTCCTCATCCAGTCATCCAAGACTCTTAGTTACACACCTTTCCATATATATTTTTTATCTTGTTGCTTCTGTTTATTCTGGACAGTGTTTTCAGATCTTTCTTTTCCTTTCTTTCTTTTTTGAAGAAGTTCTGTTTTCCCTCCAAATTTGCCTGGCCTTTTTTGATTATTTATTGCTCTTTGCTCATATTTTTTATTCCTTCTTTTAATTCTTTAAGCATTTAAAACATACTCCCCAGTTCTGATAATTCCATTCTCTGAAAATCCTGGTAGGCCTAATTATGCCAGTTGCTGTTGTTTATTTCTTGTTTCTTAAAATTTTGAATTGTAAGCTTAGCTTTTGTATATCTTTGTAGAGTTTGTACAATCTCTCTTGAATACAAGAAAATTTGACCTTGTTTCTGACAGGCACCCTGAGTGTCACCTACCTTGGTCCACTTTATGTTAATTTCTGGACTTGAGTCTCCAGGGTCTTGGAGTCTGAATTCATGTCCTGTTCCTGCATGAGAGCTAGCCTGCAGTTATGAATTCTCAGGGGAGACTTACTCTTACCCCAAGCCAGAACCGAGGTCAAGGCAGAAAGTTTTCCTATGTTTTGTTAGTGAAAGGATTTTTATCATCTAGTCCCAGGGTCGGCAAACTCTGGTTCCCTGGCTAAATTTGATGTGCCATCTCATTTTGTAAGTTCTACTGAAATTTCTGATTCTATATATTGTCTGAGGTGGCTTTTACACATAGTAAAGTTGAGATACCTGATGGTTCTCAAAGCCTACATTATTTGCTCTTTAGCCCATTATAGAAAAAGTATATGATTCGTATCCTAGGCCACCCTCTGATTGAGAGTCCCAGCTTTCTGAGGGGTTCAGTTTTAACATCCCAGCTTCTGACAGTCTAACTCCTTGTATTCGTCACCATATTGTGGTTAAGGACCAGATCTCTTGGGTTTTTCAGCTCCTGGTTAGGATCTCCTTTTGTTGTTTTGTTTTGTTTTGCCATTAGAAATATTAATTTCTGGCAACAGTAAGAAGAGTCTTTATTTGAGGGTTGGCTGTGCAGCACTGGTATTCATGGTCTCTGTTTATTGTGCTTCAGGGGTCTGTTTCACTTTAAGCCAATCCTGACTTACACCACAGATCACTGTATCTGTTACCTGTGTATGTGTTATTTTCCCTGTTATGTCAAAGTTGTATTTCTTCATAAAAGTATTCACCATGAGATTTTTCAAAATAGGCAACTTTTAGGTTTTGGGTAAGACAAAAAACTGATTTACCTGCACTGCAAGAAGGCCCTGTTTTGTGCTCCTTACTCATCCCAGTATCCATAACACCCTGGCTGTGAATGCAGGTTGTCTTTTCTTCTTCAGTAGCCTATAAACCCATTCTGGACAGAATCTGCATCGTCATCACCTTCGTATCCCTAGTCCCTAGCTTAGTGCTTGGCACATATTAGATACTCAGTAAATATTTGTTGAATTGATTTGAATATAACATTTAAAAAAATTTAGGTACCACTTCCTCAGGAGTATGTTCTAAGCTACTTCTGTATCTATATCCTAATCTCTTTGCTAACATCTACTTCTTCAATAATTTAAAGAAGAAGTCAAGCTTTGCCTGAGAATTACCTTACTTCATCTGTAACACACACACACACACACAGATATGCATGTGTTTACATACACATATATCACAGAACCAAGCCCCAGACCTCAGATGTTAAACAGGGAACATCTAAAGGCCATTTTTTATTATATCAGTTGTCTGATTGTGAGTTGTATTTTTAATTTTGAGGGGATGTGTTCTGGGTCAGATGAAGTCTGTAGTTCAACTAATATGAGAGCTCTGTTAGTTTCTGGTGTATTACTGACAGCTTGTGAGCCTTTTGGGACCAAGGCAGGATATAAATACAGACATTTACATATAATTTTTGTTATAGTAGGTGTTACATTTTTATAAAATGGATATGAAAAACTGATTTCAAATCTTTAGACTTTTTTCTCATAGTTCAGACTGTTGCATGTTAATTCGATGAAGACAGCACTCATGATACCTGTGTCAGGGCAGCTCCAGGTGCTGGGGACACAGGTACAGCATGAAACAAGTCCCCACCCTCAAGGAGCTCATGCCTTACTGTGGGTGCACGGTGCAGAAAAGAAAATAGGTTAGGTGTTTACCAGTGCCAAGAAGAAAAAGGACACACAGGACAGTATAAGGGGAATAGACTGAAGGAATGTGTGTGACATGCTATAGGGGCGTTGGGTGACATTTGAACAGAGACCTGCATGGAGTGAGGGAGCCGCACATGTAGTTGGGGTGGAGCCAATGAACCAGGTGTGCTGGAGGAGTACAGGTGGGGCTAGTGCAGTCCGTGTGGGGAGCTGTGGGAGCAGAGGCCAGAGACGCATTGGGACCAGGCCAGGGCACTTGCAGGTGGTGAAGACATCGATACCACTCTGAGTGAAATGGAAGGCCTTGGGGCTCTTGGAGCTCAGGAGTGATGGATACTGTCTGACTTAAGGTTTAAGTGCATTGCTCTGGCCACCGTGCAGAGAATGGTTGGTAGGGTGTGGTGACAGCAGAGACCCACTGGGAGAACTTTGGTTACCAAGAGGTGGGGTGATGGTAGTCTGGACGTGGGGCTAAGCAGTGGTGCGATTCTGGTTTTCTGGAATGAGGTGAGAGAAAAAGCAACCCTCAAGTAAAGTAAAACAGGATGGTTACTCTGACTATGCTCGGTTTCACTGTCTTCTCCCAACCCTTGCTTTTTTGTTTATTCTTTAACAGAACCCAGATTAAGTGTAGCCCCTGAAATGGATATCATGGACTACTGCAAGAAGGAATGGAGGGGAAATACGCAAAAAGCAATATGTATGAAAAAGGTATGGCACCTAAATTCACATATTTCAAGTCTTTTGAATAGTCTAAGCCATTATTTAGTATGTCTTTTTACATTTTTAGATGTTAGTTTTGACAACTGCTATTAGACTATGTAAATACTGGTGTTCTAATTTTAGAGATGAAACATACTCCAAAGATAAGGGACTTGTTTTGAGTCACAGTATTAATATGGTATCAGCATCATTTATTTAGTAACTTGATTTCTTTGAAAAACACAGAAAAGGAGTTGGGCCAGCCACTGGTTGTTCTCTTGCAGTCATTCGGGAGTGTTTTCCTGGTGGTGTGGTGAAAGCCCCTAGGATGGGACTGGCAGATGCCATACCTCCTGCCAGCACCACGTAGGTCTGACTTCATGCTCTCTAGTCTGAGGGGCCTAGGCCCTCCTGTGCTGTCTATGCAGAGGGCTCTGTCATTTCTCCCTTCATTCAGGGTGTACTGGGAGCTGCTGCTTCCAGTGCCATTACATAGATCAGTGACCCTTCAGTAGCCTTGAAGGCTGTGGGACACTGGGTATTCCCATGACATGGTCCTGCTGTGACTGGGCTGGGTCATTGATGTGGTCAGACTCCTTGGCTGACTCCCACTGTACAGTCAGTTGAACACCACACAATATTGGCTCTCCCCTCAAATGTATCCTGAATCCAGCATTCTTTAGTAGGTTGAACCTTGCGGAAATTGCTACCATTTAACTGTTTCTGAGCTACAAAAATGGACTTTTAATCTAAAACTTCCACCACCTTTTGTAACTTCTGGGTTTTATTCTTTGCTCATTTTTCTCTTCGGATTATTTTTATATTACAAATTTGATGGCACTTCTTGTAAGTTAGACATATTGACATGTCATATATGATAGAAATATCTTTTGTTTAGAACTATATTGTTAAAGATTTAAAATTTTAAAATATTTGAATACATTTGTTCTTTTCCTCAGAGCTTGTTTTTGTAGAAAATACTGTGCATCTTTCACATGCCCCTGTGCTGCCCATGCCTACTCTGAAACGGACTGGCCTACCTCAGAACAAAGCTGCAGCTTTTAAAGCTCTGCGGGGCCCATGTCAGCCCTGCTCCCTGCAAGTCTGAGTTGTAGACTCCTCTTGTCCCAGGCACTTAGTAGAGAACTCAGTCATGAAATAGCTGGAACTCTTGGTTCCTCTGGGAGATTAAACATGTTTTCGATTTGTGAGGCCCTTTGCTGAATATACGCATTCACTGCTTGTAAGTTTTGAAACTTTCAGCTCAGTATCAGACTAGATCACTGGAGGGCTGGGTACCTAAACTGTATCTTCTTATCTTCCCCAGAAATGCTCTCAGTGACTTGCAATTTTATTTTATGACTTTGGACTCTTTAAAGGATCTGTTTTGAAGATATTATCTATTAAGTTATCCAAGTGTTCCATATTTTGGGACTTGTGCTAAAATCGTACTTTTGTGATTTTCAGCATGAGGGAAAGATTGGCCTTGTGTTGGGCTCAGCGACTAATTAAACAAAGGCACATGAGGTAGAAAAGCGTCACACTGGGATCTGCGGCAGTAATTAGAGCCTCCCAGGGGCCTGATTAACAGTTTGGATTTCACTTATTTTTTAGTCTTTGTTTATCTGATGATTTATCTTTGTTTTAGGTATTCTTTTGGAAGTAAGTATGTATAAACCCAAATTTAATTTAAGAAGTGTGATTCACCTTTGAAATACCATGAGCAATTTACACTTCTGGAAAGGTATAGTTACATTTGCAGTAGTGTCCTGAGTTCTCCTGGGGTAACTGGGAATCCTCCCCAGGAAGAATGTGCAAATGAGTGTAAGTCTGCTTGATGGGTCCTTGCATGTTGCAGTGATTGGACCATTGAATAAAAATGAAGCTCTCAAACTTTTATTATGGAAAGAAATGCTTTCATTCCACTTAGAACATCATCCTATGACTTGAACCTTGAAAACAACTAATAATGAAGGTTTGGTACGTGGACACAGCATGACTGACCATGTGGTGGTCCACCCCATGAGGAGGCTGACACTCCTTCGTGTGAATGCAGGGTAGGAAGCAGGATTTAGAGTGACAAGGTAGAACAGGATGAGCAAAAGGTCCCACAGGATGGGGCCTGGAGATTGGGGAGGTGGCAAAGTCAATATGAATGCCTGAGCAGTGTCCAGCTGGAGAAATCTGGTCATCTGGGTGCCTGTGGGCCAGGTCACTAGGATTTTATGGTGGCCTTTTTTGGGGTGTGCTTTACAGTGTGGATGGCTGTTTTTGAGTGACTGAGCGTGTCATTAAACATTTTCGTTTGCTTGTTTCACTTCCAGACTGAACAAGAGTGATACTTAAATTCACTTTTTAAAAAAGTCTGAAGACATCTCCTAGCATGTAGACTTTTAAAGTTTAGTGTGAAAACTTGGGATTTTTGTGTTTTTTAAAATACAGAGATATAAACTTAGTACCTCTCTTTAGTTTCCTATCTTCTCTATAAAGAGTTGTGAATCAGTCTAAACAGAGATTAAACCCTTCAGAACGTTGAATATCACTGAGTGTTACAACAGTTGCTTACAATAGATGAAAAACTCCAACTTTAGGTGTAGCTAGGTAGTGTTTTCAAAGTACTTGGTATATTTTATATGTTCTGGTGTGTTTCACCTATTACATATTGCAATGTTTTATACAGTACCAGAATTGTTAATTCCTTTTGATGAATAAAATAGAAATTAGGAAGTCTTACATGAAGGACTCAGCCAGTCTTGTTTCATTCCCCAGTGATCAGGGACATGTTTTTTCCCCCACAGGAATAAAACTCACTGTCCTGTCTGAAGCCAGTAATGACCATTTTGAATTCTTTGATGCTTTCACCCAGGGCTACGAGGAGGTGTCTCAGAAATTCACATCCATAAGGCGAGTCCGTGGAGATAATTACTGTGCGCTGAGGGCCACGCTGTTCCAGGCCATGAGCCAGCAGGCGGTGCCGCCCCCTTGGCTGCAGGACCCGGAGCTCATGCTGGTACGCTGCTGCAGGTTTGAGTCCGCAGCGTTTCCAGGTGTTTCTGTGAGGAAAACCCCCCTTTGCCGCCAGTGCTGTGTGCTAGCAGCGTCTGCAGTATGACGTCAGTATGTGCGTTTATCCAGTGTGCGGCTGGGATTATTTTTCATAGATAGTACTGCGACCAAGAGTAATGGGTATTTCCCAGAAGAGAAAAATAATACAATTTACTTGAACAATTTAGCTGAATTAGCAGTGTCCATAGTGTGTAAGAAGTCCTTAGCGGCAACTTGACTTCAGTGTTGGTGTCTGCCTTAAGAGGCCCGTCTGTTGTACTGAGCCTGCTGGGGTTGAAACACATTTCTGTAGTTCCAGCTCCAAGTCAAGAAATTAGCATCCTCTGAATAATGTTAGGAGGATTATAACAGAAATGAGTAATGTCACCCTGGGAGAGGTTTCCTGGGGGAAGTGAGGGCCAGAGGCTGTCCCAGGCCTGGCCCTGTTGAGTGTTTTAAGTCTGCAGCATGGTGGTGATAGTAAGTTATGTGCCTGTGTGTCATGTGTTTGATGCACTTCAGGTGAGGTCATGTAATGGGTTGGATAGTAGAATATCCCAGAATAGTTTGGTGGGCAGGAATGATTGGCCAGAACTGATAACAAGACATTGATTGGGAGAAAATCAGAAGTCCTGTGCTTAAATTAAAAGTAAAACAAAACGAAACTGAATAGTGCAAGCTATGGGAGATCTTTCTTAACAGCAAGTTATGAAATGAAAAAAAAGACTGTAGACTTTTGATTGACTGCAAGCCCCATGTGAGCCCATGTGACATGTGGTCACCAGTGGTGGCTACAAAGCCCAGCTTTAGAGGGAATGCTTCTGAAACACAGGCAGTGATAGTCCGTCTTGAACTGGGCTGGTCTGATCCCATCTCAGGGACCAAGTGCAGCCCTGTGCCTGTATCTTCAGTGCAGGTGGGGTGTGACCAAGGTGACTGATCTCATTTGCAGAATGGTTGACAGGGCTGGGGTGTTTGCCTAGAATAAAGAAGACTTTTGGAGGAAACTGGTTACCAGCTGAGCTAGTCAGAAGTTTGTTAGACAAGGGAGCATATGACCTCAGGGGACAAAACCAGGGCCACTAGGTGGAGGATACCACCTTTCTGTCCTGTGTTTATCTATTTATCACACACCTGTATGAACCATCTGAATGCTAACTGTGAAAGATTCTTTCCTCAAAGCACAGATGTATGTTATCTTCAGCAGATTTCTCAGTAGTGGCTTATTTTTTGATATAAAAGCAAAAGTACACTGGGCTATTTTTTCCTTTGCAAATTTATTAATGAAATATTTCCGAATTTGTCAAGCATAACTAACTTACACATTAGGACATAAAACCCTCCTCAATTTTAGGCTGAGTTTTCCTTTTGAGCCTTTACCTTTATGGAGCTGTTTAGATTTATGGACTTGACATAATGAGTTCAAATTTTATATTTTCCAAGAAACTGGTGAAAGTAGTGTTCTATATAAGCATATGAAATGCACCCTATAAGATAAAGCATGATGTCCTTTTTATTTTACCCTTTTACATTTTATTATTTATTTTACCATTTGACTAGCAGGATACCTTTGGGTAATACCATCTGCCATAGTGAAACTGGTCAAGGTAAATAGTGCTCACTTTCCGATCAGTAGCAGAGTATATATGGGTTACAGGATTTTAAAGTGGTCTTCTTGCCTTACTATGAGTTGTGTGATAATAGTTTTTTAATTCTCAAGCACTCGTTCCAATTTCTTCCCTTTTCTGTGCATTAGCCAACAAATACAGTTTTTCTCTTGGGACAATAATCTAATCAGTTGGTCACAGTGGTATTATTTTTGTCTTCTAACCTTTACTGGATGCCAAGAGGCTTGTGTCAAAGAGAAAAAGCACATCCTACCTGCCTGTTGAGCTTAGTATTTAAATTTATTAAACTTTGCTTCTGCTAAATGTCAGCTGAAGAAGACCTTGTTCTTTTCTTTTGTCATCCAACTGGACTTGTCCTGGTGTTGACTTTCCAGCCCTCACCAACTGTCTGTGGTTTGAGCACTTTCTTTATATTGTCTGTTTTGTCACATCACTTGCAAGGCTGGTGCAGGTGACAGATGCAGCGCATGCTTCATTTTTGAGGGGCCAGTGTAAGCAAGAGGGCTCACAAGACTTGTCCAATGTGCTGGCCCACACTGGCTGTAGCCGCCTTGTTTTCCCCTGGTCCCTGCTGTGGAGGCCTGCCATTTCTGTTCTCATCCTGGTCCCTCCACCAGTCTTAGGAAAGTCCACTCTAACATGGGCCTTGTTGAGTGAGTGAGTGAGTGAGTGGGTGGCGGAGTGTGACTGGAAGAAGTCGGGTGGTGAGAGGCCTTTGGAAGCCGTCTGTGCACATGACTACCTCGCCTCAGGAGTGGGGTCTTCATCTCCAGATACTGCTCATGTAAAATACTTATTTGTTTACACACATGCTTAAGACAGGCAAGTCAAGTGATACTAAGAACTTTATTACTACAGAACAAAAAGATGTTACAGGAATTTTGGTATGGAAGTCATTTCCTACCCATCTTCCTGATGCACTAGAAGAACTTGCATCTTGTCACATGAAGTCAAACCCCCAATTGTTGTTAAAACACTGTATAAAGTGTGTTAAAAAAGCGATAGGCTTGCTCTTACAGACACTTGGGCCAGACCCATAGGAACCCTTCTGACAGTGAGCAGGTTTGTCTCATTTTACCCTGATCCTTGGTCGTTTGAAATGCCACTGACTGCCACCCTATGTACAGTGACAGTCATATGTCCTGGTTGGTTCCGTGCACAAGCACCTCTGGTCATTGTGTGTCCTTGGGGTTTTTAGAAGTCCTGGTAGCACTGACCACTTCTGGGGATTCAGCAAAGCTACTCTGAGCAGGCAGGACGGAGGGAATCTAGTTTCAAGAACATTACTCGGTTCTCCTGAACTGCACTGGCTGTTCATTGACCCACCTCTTCCGCTTTTGAGATCATACAGGTTCTGGGACACCTAAGTTTGTACTTGAATCTCTAGGCCCAGAACCAGCCTGGTTACATGGCCTGCTTGCCACGTGCTGTGCTAACATCTCTTGACCTCACTGTTCATATCATTGAGAATTTGGGTGAGCCCAGAGAAGGAATATTTTGTCACCAAAGGACATGTGTCCTTTAATGGGCTGTATCTGCTTCCGTTTACAGATTGAGAGATGTTCTCTGGAGCACTCTGCCATCATCCTTCTCTCCTGGAACATTAAAGGGAACATTAAAGGGAAACAGGAGAGCTATTTGGAGAGATCCTCCCCTTCATCTGAGCTCAGTGGCAGAGACCCCAGACTTTCCTTTCAATTGATGCTCAGCTCCTTTGGTCTTGCTCTTTTCCCAGCCTGGGAAGTTGAGCTTTGCCCTGGCTTCCCCTTTGACAATTCAGTTCCCCTCTGCCCATTGTTCTGCCTAGGCTCCCTGCATGGTGTTCCTGCTCAGTTGCCAGTCTTCATGTTTGACTGCAGTCAGATCATCTGACCTTGGAGGTGTTGGGTCTGGCTATTCTTACACTTGGGGCAGCACCATGGTCTATGAGACCGGGTGTTCTTCAGGGCAGGGTTCCTTTGGTTTCCAAGTTCACGAAATCTTGGGAAATCTCTGTACAGCTGGGACTTGTCACATTATTTGCTTAGAATGGGATAGACTGACCGTTCTTTTTATGAAGAGTTAGTTTTGGGGTATGACATATCTTTGTTATTAGCTTTCCCTTTAATCATGGTGATTTCAAGAATTATAGTCACTCACTATAGAAAACAGGCTTTTTTATAGTTCAGTCACAAATGAAATCACATCTAAGCTGAGTACTTACTTTATTCTTAAATATTTCCGGTCATAGTTTCTTGTTTAAGTCTTGTTTCTTGCTTACATCTCCCTTATTCTCACAGAAGCCCAGTCTTTGTGTATGGTAGCAAAGAATGGCTATTTCTGTGTGTGTTCCATATGTCCAGTAAGTATATGAAGTTATATCTACTTTTTTCTTCTGAATAAATAGTTCCAACTCCATTATTCTTTCCTCAGAGTTCCTTTTTCACACTTCCATCTTTGGACTTTCTCCAAGATCTCCACAACTCGCAGAAATATACAATGCTGAGCTGGATAAATTACACTAGCAACAGCCTGACCAATGCATGGAAGGAATGAGCAATTGGACTTCTAGTTTCCCTGTGTGTAGATGGAACTTTGGGGTCTCCTGAGTCATTCACTTGAGTACTAAGTCTGATTTTTAGGTACCTGTGCAGTGTCAGGCAACGCTCAGATGGTCCTCTGGGCTTCCTCCCGGTTGTCCCAGCTCCCCTGCTCACATCTGTGTAGCCAGTGTTTTCTGCTCAGTTTCACCTTTGTGCCTGGCTGTGATTTCAGCTTGTTGCCACTTGGGGTCATTGTCAGCTCTGGTGATAAACCTGAGAACCTGAATGGAAGGTTTGCAGCAGAACTGCCCGCGGTTGTCCCTGCAGTACAGGACAGTGAGGGCACGGAGCTGGGCAGCTCCTGAGAGGATGTCGCTGGTCATCACAAGGTGAGGAGAACCCAGCTGGTCCCTGCCTTAGTGATTGCAGCGTGCAATCATCCTGGCAGCGTGACCTGTAGAGGAGTTTACATCCCTGTTGTGGTTTTGTTTTTGCAGAAATGAAACCACCTTTGTTTCATGTGATTGCTATAGAGTGAGAAGGTAAAGCTGGAATCACCATTCATGAAAGTGTCTTTAGAGTCTTGGATTCCAGGAGACTGAACATAAGGCCCCATTTAAAACTATATTTATAAGTATTAAACAAGCTCAGGTTCCTCAGAGGATGTTGTAGGAATTCATTATTCTTTATCTTGACTTGGAGGGGAAGTTTTTTTTCTGCAGTTTCATAGCAGTGGAGTGACATGCCCATGCCCAGCTGAACTGTGGAGTTTCTCTGGACACACCCAAGCCTGTTGGGGGAGTCTGAGCTGTCATTCATCAAGTTGTGTCCCAGCTTGCCTTTCAAATTCCAGATTCTGTTGGTGATTAGGGGAAATCAAAATACCAGATGCACTAGGAAAAAAAATGGAAATGGGCCACTTAGTAGTTCAGCTGTCAATTTAATGAGCCAGGCCATTACAGCTCCCTTCATTCACCCTTCCTTGCCTCTTATTCCCACTTGTATTTTTTATCTTATTATATTGATTAGACAGTTAAATTAGTTACGATACTGTTCCTTGAATGTTAAAACTGGCAGAAGTTAGGTTTAATTTTCCAGTCAGGAAGGGAGCAGGTTTGTTACTCTGCCTTTATTGTGGTCCATCTCGAGCCCCAGGCGCCTTCCTGCGTCAGGCGTTGGGGAGTGCTAGTGATGCTGCCCGTCAGCCCAGCAGTACCGGGGTGGTTGTGGTGTGGACACTGCCTGAACAGACCCTTACAAAGTGCTGTGGAATGTTCCTGGCCATGCTTGGAGCCCAGCGAGGTAGACTGTGCCCTTGTATCTCAACCAGAACCACCATTTCATTCACATACCCCTCCTCAGCGGCTGCTTTCTGAGTTCATGACTTCTAGATTTAGGGTCTCCATCCTGAAAACCCAGACAGATGGGCAGGAATTAATTCTGGAAATGAAGGTAGGTTTTGTAGGCTTCGTGGTTTCTTAAAAGATACTGTGATGGTCTTCTTGGAATGTTAACACCTCTTTGTCTCTCTCTGTTTCTTGATACTTTAGTTACCGGAAAAACTCATAAGCAAATACAACTGGATCAAGCAGTGGAAACTTGGGCTGAAATTTGAGGGGAAGAGCGAGGACCTGGTTGATAGAATTAAGAAGTCCCTCACTCTGCTCAGGAAGAAGGTTTGGAACATAGAGCTTTCCTTATCTGATAAGTGCAAGCTGTCACTCCTGACTGCCTCAGCGGACTACTGCTCAGTCCTCACACAGTGGGTTGCCGAGTGCTCTTGTCTGGTTTTTAGGCAAAATAATTTAAATGAACACAAACTTCCTATGGAGTCTTTGGTAGAATTGAGAAGTATCAATATCATATATTCTCAGAGGAAATGATATGTTTAATGAAATGTTTAATTTTCTTAAAAGGAAACCTTAACAAATGTAGTCTTTGTTCTAAGCCATACTGACAAGTTTCAGGGATATTATTTAGGCCATATTTCTTCTAGTTAATATCAATGATACGAATTCACATTTATTAAATTCTTTCCAATTAAGTTCATATTTTAAGATTCTATCCATATTTATCCTACTCATTTTCAATCCTGATGATTGTCCTGTGAGTAATTTAGTAACTTGTCTTTTGAACACTGTCCTTAGGGTTTCTCTGAAACAGAATTGTGGAACAGAATCAGAGAATGTGGCCTGCTAATTCCTACAGATTTGGTAGTTAAGATGTCCCCTTTCCAGATGGTTTCATGGGGTTTGGGTGTCCTGCTTGCACACTGGCCCACACTGACCACTGTGTTGCTTGCCATTGAAAGCTTGAAGCTCTCCCCGCTATACACCTGAGTCTAGGGTCTATTGATGGCTCCAGGCTTTGTAGATGGGAGGGAGGCTGGTAAGGAGGCATCCAACACTGGCTTTCAAGTGTCCTTCTAGCACTTACCCTAGTTGTTGATCTGTTCACTCAGATATTGTCTGCTGTCCCCATTACACTTTCAGCTCCAGGCAAGACTGTCCTGCTCATTCCGGTATACCTGGTGCCAAGCACCCAGCATGACACATAATGGCCATTTGGTTAATTAAATTTTGTGCAGTGAATGAACTGAGGGCCCTGACTTCCTGAAACCTAGTTTTTATTTATAACATAAAGATTGCTTAATGCAAAATACACCATCAAAGGAAGTCTAGTGATAAAGAAATGGGGCAGGCCTCTGACTCTGTGTGAGTGAACAGGAAGCCACCTTAGTTGAGCTGTTGGTGACAATTTCCTTTTCCTCTCTTCTGAGGTCTTGTGAAATTGTAATTTTTTGCTTTATTTGGTGTGTCTTCTGTAACTAGATCCTCATTAAGTAATTCCAATTTACAACATTATGATTACTCATTAATAATATGAGCCGGCATTATGACTAAAGCTTCTTATGTGCCAGGCTGTACAGTAAGGACTTCCTGTGTAACTTAATTCTCACAACCACCAAGATGTTGCTGTGGTCATCGTTTTACAGATGAGGAGACCAAGGCCCAGAGGACTGTTAATGCCCGGCAAAAGTCACCAGCTGCTTGGTGACCAGGCCTGCATTCCACCCAGACTCTGTGACTCAAAAGCCAAGCTCTTGACTGCCAACTTGGTCTGCTTCTGGAAAATAGGATCTATTCCAGCTTTCAGCCTCATTATTGGAGAGAATCCTGTGGTTCAGTCATTACCATTCAAATTCATTTTCGAATTCAGAATTGTAATGATTTTTGAGAGGAGCAGTAGTTAACTGGTTATTCATAAGGACTGTTTTATGCTGGTATCTCTTACACTCATTCTTTCAACTTAAAAGTACAGATGTTTATAGGGTTTTCTTGTTCACTTAAATAATTTCCCTATGTCTGAATACCTAGCTCTCTGCTTTATTCTTAATCAGGAGTCAATATGAATTTCCTACATGGATTTGTTCATGTGAAGCTCATACATATTTTTAAGAGGTTAGAAGGGTAAGTTCATCCCTAATGTAATATTAACATTCAGGAAGCCTCACTTCTTTGCTCATCTTCATTTTGAAGGTTGTTTTGGTGTTTCCAGGTGGTAACTGTTCTATAAGCCCCTGGAGGGGAGGAGTAATTGTAGCTTCACACTCCTCACAGCTGCACACACAGCCCTCACAGGTGCCCCGAAGCTCCTCTGTAAGATTTTCTGATTGCCTTGTTCAATCTCATTGCCTGGGAAATTCGTGGAGTTGACAGTTCCACTCCGTAGCCCCAGGGCTTCTCCTTAGTGCATTCTCCTTTAGCAAATTGGGTAAAACTGCACAAGGAATTTGTGTGGTGTAAAGACTACCATTGTTTGAGCTGAAAACTTGAGTGTTGTGAGCATTGGTGACCCATGGTCGCCTACTTTTGAAAACAGTTTTGTGCTCACAGTATGGAAATATACCAGGGATTTATAGAACAAAAATTTAATTATTACGTAAATTTCTTATTGTAGTGGGCAGGCTTGGCTGAACTGAACTCTGCTGAAGCAAGGCAGATGGCTTGTGATGAACTGTTCTCAAATGAAGAAGAGGAATATAGCCTCTATGAAGCTGTAAAATTTCTAATGCTAAACAGAGCCATTGAACTATATGATGATAAAGAGAAGGGAAAGGAAGTACCATTTTTTTCTGTGCTTCTGTTTGCTCGGGACACATCGAGTGACCCTGGACAGCTGCTGAAGAACCATCTAAACCAGGTGGGACACACAGGTGGCCTTGAACAGGTGAGTTGTACCTTTGGGAGTGTATTAGCCCAAAACAGTAGCTTTAACCATCAAATATTATCTCATAGTTTTTATGGGTCAGGAATTCAGGAGCAGCTTAATTGGGTGGTTGTAGCTTAATTGGGTGGTTCTAGCTCAAGTTCTCAGGAGGCTGCAGTCGTCTGAGGACTCAGTTGGGGCTGGAGGATACACTTCTAACATGGCCCACTCACCTGGCTATTGGCAGGAGGCCTTGTTGATAGTCAGCAGGAGGGTTCAGGTCCTTTCCACAGGGGCCTTTCCAGTGTCCTCAGGACATAGCAGCTGTCTTCTTAGAAAGTGGTCCAAGAAGAGAGGAAGGAGGAAGCCACAATATAATGCCTTTTATCGTCTCATCTTGGAAGGGACAAACCATCATTTGCATCATATTCTGTTTGTTAAAAGCAAGTTGCTAAATCCATCTCACACTCAAGGGGAGAGCATGAGGTTCCACCTTTCCAAGTGAGGCATGCCAGAGAATTGTGAATCTGTTTTATAACCTTCATGGTCAGCTCAGCCTGGCTTTCTTCTGTATGGGATCAGAACTGTTGGCTCTGGTAGGCTACAAATAAGAGAAGCGTTTGGATGAGCCATCTGAAGGGTCTTATTTAAACTTCGCAGTTGTAGCTGTATTGATAGCATCCTTTAAAAATAGAAGTGGAATGGGACTCTCTTGTTCCCTCCTGGCATGAGCCAGGAGCTCTGTCCCTTCACTTTATCTCTAAATAAAAGCCTGTACCTTGCTCTCCTAAAAAAAAAAAAA